AAATAATAATATTAAATAAAATAATTCTTTCTAACAAAAAGTTTATTTCTTGGGGCCAACAGGTGGCATAGTGGTTAAGACACTGGATTCCCACAAGGCCAACTGCTATTCAAGTTGCCCTGGCTGGGCAGCTTGAAACACACCAGGCCCATGTGCCTGCTTGTCCAAAATCCTGAGAAGAGACTGGAGGAGAAGGGATTGTAATATGGTCGTCCCCCTGGGAGGTGATTTCTCTCTTTCACTTTCTCTTTCTCTGTCTTTCTAGTGAATGGAATGCACATACACTACAGAAAAATCTCTCTCTCAAAAGAAAAAGTTTCCTTCTTTCATGAATGAGACACAGAGAGAGCAAATCCCAAGCCTTGATGCCACAATCAGCCCCCAGCCTCTGCCAAAGCCCAGATCATGAGCATGCACATGTTCAGTGTACTCAGGGAGATATCAGATACGATCCCAGAACCTTCCCACATGGATCAACCTTGCAAAGCATTATATTTTACCACTGAATCACTGTCTAGCCCCCCATATCTCCATTTCTAATTAAAGAAAGTGCAGACATAGCTTTATAAATTTCTGATTTGGAAACTTCATTAAATGATAAAAATAAATGCACAATACACCAGATATTTGGAAAATGTAAATCACCAGAAGATTGTTATAGCAATATCCACACTAATTAACACGTCTCAAGAAAGGCTATACAGGGACCAGCAGTTAGCGTAATGGCTATGTCGCTGGACTCCCATGTAGTCAATCGTGGTTCGAGTCCCGGACCCGGTGGCTTAAACTCACGCCGGGCACGTGTGTGTGCGTGCCCAAGATCCCAAGAGGAGAATGGAGGAGAAGGGATTGCAGCATGGCCATCCCCTGGGGGGAGGGGGTGATTTCTCGCTTTCTATCTCTCTGTCTCCCTCTGTCTGTCTAGCGAGCGCACACGCCATATAGCAAAAACCTCTCCAAAAGAAAAAGAAAAAGAAAAAAAAAGGCTATGCATGTTTATCAACTAATTAGAATCATACAACAAAAAGAATAAAAAGCACTTCCCTGTGAGACAGAAAATAAATAAATAACAATATTTTCATTAGAGTCGGCAATGTTCCTTTAAACGTATTTGAGTGCCAGAAAACTGATGTATAAATTAAATGGTTTTATAGTTTATATTTGATATTTGGAAGAGATTTAGACCATTAAAGAAAGGAAAAATGGTATGGTACTTATGATGGAAAGACAAAGAGCAGTAAATCCTGAAGAAAAGAATGTTTTAGAACTCATTTTCATATTTCTGTGAGACCTTAAAAGTACAGAGGTTTGACCAAGAAAAGTGCACCAGTTTCTAGATCACTGTTGCCAATTTATGATGCACAGGTCAAATCTATCCCACCACTGGTCCTTGTACAGCCCATGAGCTAAGGGTGTTTTTTTATGTATATAATTTTTTTTTTAGCAAAATGTCAAAAGAAGACCATTTTGTGATACATGAAAATTGTGTGAAAGTCAATTTTGGTGTCCCTTGCTCATTTATTTCCATATTGTCTGTGGTTGTTTGTATATATTTCCTATTGCTGCTGTAACAAATTACCACAACCTCAGAGAAATAAAACAAAAGAAATTGGGCAAGCAGGTGGCATGGTGGTGAAGGCATTGGATTCCCACATGGCCAGCTTTGCAGTTCAAGTCCCAGACCCGGTGGCTTGAAAAACCCAATAAATAGGCCAACAGTTGGCATGGTGGTTAAAGCCACTGGACTCCCACATGGCCAACTGTGTGGTTCAGGTCCTGGACCTGGTGGCTTGCTTTCTGGGGCCGGCAGGGGGGGGGATGGTTAAAGGCACTGGATTCCCACATGGCCAACTATGGTTCGAGTCCTGGACCTGGCGGCTTAGTTTCTCTCTCTCTCTCTCTCTCCCGCTCTGGTCAAATTGAAATAAACAATGAATAAATAAATAAAGTTAAATAAAATAATTCTTTTAAAAAAAGAAAAAGAAAATCACAATAAATAAATAAATGTTTTTTAAAAACCCACAAATTTATTATTTCACAGTTTGCATGCCCGTGATCCAGGGCTGACTGAAGTTGGGAGTGTATTGTGGCATCAAGACTTTGTTGGGAGTTCCTCTCACTCTCTTTCTCTGCCTCTCTCACTAATAAAAGAATAAATAAATAAAACTTGTTAAAAATTTTTTTAATAAAAGAGTCCAGGCAGGATTTAACTGGGTTCTCTGTTCAGGATCTTATCAGGCTGAAAGCAAGGTATTAACTGAGATGACATTCCCATCTAAAGCACGAGATCCTCTCTCAACCATGGTTGAGACAATTTGATTGTTGACAATTCAATTCCTTGCAGTCATAAGTCAATTGCTACCATTCTCAAAGTAACCATCAGCCAAAGGTTGCCTTCAGGGCCTAGAGGCCACCTACATAGCTCCTCCTTATTCGAAATCAGCAATAGACTTTTCCCTCACACTGAACCATTTTAACAGTTTGAGTCTTTCTTACTGGAATGAAGTCTATCCCACTTCCCCTCCTTTTTTTGAGAGATTCTTTGCTATAGGGTGTGTGTACTCACCAGAGAGACAGAGAGCAAGAAGTCACCCCCCAGCAGGGATGATCATACCACAATCCCTTTTCCTCCATTCTCTTCTCAGGATTTTGGACATCCACACACATGCACCCAGCTTGAGTTTCAAGCCACTAGGTCCAGGACTTGAACTATAGTTGACCACATGGAAGTTCAGTGCCTTAGCCACTATGCTACCTGTGGCCCTGAGCTCCATCCCTTTTAAAGGCTCACCTGGTTAGATAAAGTCTAGCAAGGAAAATCTCTCTAGCTTAATATGAACTGACTTGGGTACTTAATTACAACTCAAAAATTCCTTCACAGCAGCACCTAAATTAGCACTTGAACTACTGATAGCAGGTGTGTATATATCAGGGGCCACAAATCTTGGGGGGGCCCGATACATAATTCTAAAAATTAATCTAAAAATTCTGCCTACTACACTGCATTCACCCTAAAATGGCAGACTTGAGTAGCTCCAACAGAGACCATATGAGAGGTCTTCAAAAGTGGAAAATGAGGCCGGTTCCATGGTCTTGTGGTTAAGGCAGCCTGATCTCATATGGCCGACCATAACTGCAATTTGTCTCAGCCCTGGCAGCTTGAAAAAAATTCTAGGTGCAAGTGTATGCATGACCAAAATCCCAAAAGGATAGAGAGATGGAGGAGAAGTGATTATGACAGAACTGTGTCATGCTGGGGGTGATTTATTTCTCTTCTTCTCTCTCTCTCTCTTTCTCTCTTTGGCAAGTACATAAGCTAAGATAGGAGTTAGACCCCACTTACAGGTAGATAGGGTAAGGGCCCCCAAAAGGAAGTCAGTATGTTTTTCTTTTTAACAAAGTCTCTGTTTTTCCTCTTTGGTCTCACTAGTGTACAATATACACCCCTTTCACATGTCTCTAAAGGATGTATGACTAATAAGGCAGGAGATTGGGATATTGAGCATACACACAGGGTAAGGCCAAGATGGAGTCATAGTAGCTAAGTTTTCACAGCCAAAAGCTGGCTATATTGGCACTCAAAGCAACTGTAGCTAGGGGCAACCGTGTCTATTTAGTAACTATATTCTAACAAGAAGTACAGAACACTACGGTCTGCTGACCTCATGAAGAACAGGGTAATAAGTCACTCGTAACTATTTTCTAAAGCTCACTTTCTTATCAGAAAGCCAATCCTTGCTCAGTCTGCTAAATAAAAACCCCTGCCTCCAGTTCCTTGGACCCCTCCCTACTGTGAGCTCTGTTCTTCCTTCCCTCTCTTAATAAACTTGGCTTTGCTATCCCCTCTCTGTGTCCATGTCTCCAATTCATCATGAGCTTCAGACAAGAACCAGCACGGGTGTTGGGTTTGATCACACAGCACTCCTACTTCAGTACCCTCTGGTGAATTTTTAAAAAGTGGAAAATACGTACTCTGAAAACACTAAGAATGAGTTTTTAATGGCACTGAAATATATTCATCCATCGCCCCTTACCCCACTCCTTTTTTAAGGTTTTTGCCACAGAGCACATGTGTTCACAGGAGAGAGACAGAGAGAAAGAAAGTGAGAAATCAGCCCCAGGAAGATGGCCACACAGCAATTCTGTCTCCTGTTGGATTTCATACATACATACACAGATATCTGGCATGATTTTCAAGCTATCAGGGCTGGAACTCAAACCACAGTCAGCCATGTGGGAGTCTAGCCCCTTAACCACCACCCTACCTGCTGGCCTGAAACTTGTCCTTTTATCCCACCTTTCAACAGACTTTTTGCGGTCCCCTCTCATAGCCCACAAAGCCAAAATACTATCTGGCACTTTATGGGAAAAGTTTGCTGACCCCTGACCAAATTAAGCCATAACATAATTTTGTTATCCCTGATCAGCAAATAACTAAATCTGGGACAGTGTAAACCAGGGGTCACC